TTTCCGATGAAGTGATGAAGAAAGTTGATAGAGCTGTCGCGGTTCATTTTTGGAATAAAGGAACCAAGGGCATCAAACTTGAACGAACTGAAAAATCTGCTTATATTCAACTTTCATTCTTTGATTTCATTTTAACTATAAATGTAAACCGATTAATGCAATATGATGTGTAATAAATTTTGTAAAAAAATGAAATTGTTTGTATTGATAATCAGAAGTCTGAAGAAATTTATTTACTTATATGTATTAATCCCATAACATGGAGTTAATGATCGTGTTTTTGAACATTTTTTCCGTCTGCTTCAAACCGCTTGTTAATCGTTTTTTATTTAACAGGATAAATATCACTTAATTATTTTAAATAACGCATTTGTAAGATAAAGATTTGAAAAGTTTCATGCACCAAAATAGTGATGTCAAAAAAAATATGAAAAAACATTAAAAGTTTTTATCAGCAAATTTTCTCCTCTATACAGTTACTGCATGTTTATAAAAGTTGCTTGTTAGTCGCTGTGATGGATAGTTTATAAGTTTTAGGTGATAAAGTTGTCATCATTTTTAAGAATCCCTGAAGATGAATTAAAATAAAGTGAAAACTATTCAGAAAGAAGAAGGAAAAGATCGCTTTATTTTTCATTCATTAAGTCTGGTTAAGCCACATAAAAGTTCTTCATCATATTATCAAAAAACAGACGTTACAATTAAATTCAATAATACAATGACACAATCTTTAATCGAAAAATATTGCAGATGTGCACGTTTAAGGTTTGTTTTCTTCTTTAAAAACTTTTGTATCGAAGAAACAAATTACTCTTAACTTGTCACTTGTGTTTCATCAGAGCTCAGTTTTATACGTTCAACATTTAAAAACGTGAAAATGTCAAATATTTTAAGAAAGAGTTTGGGAAAGATAACTTTTTTAATAGTTTGCATAATTGTTACAATTATATCCTTAAAATTCTTTCGACATCAGATTGATCGACAACAGGCAGACATAAATCCTCCTAACATGTTGAGAAGCATTGATGAGTTGGAAACTTCAACTTTCAAAAATATTTTTTTCATTGAAAGTTCAGGAATTAAATCAAATGCAAGCGATACAGGAGAATTGACGACAAGACAAGCTTGTTCTATCGAATCTGCAGCTCTTATGAATTCCGATTGTAATATTTGTGTGATTTTTGTGTCAAGAATGGAATTGAAATTATCAGAACCTATTTTGGCGTTAGTGAAATATAAAAATATTAAGTTCTATCGACTTGATTTAAGTGACTTTTCAAAGCATACAATAGCGGAAAATTGGGTGACAAGTGGAAAGCTTTTCAATACAAGCTTTCTCATGAACAATGTTTCAAATTTCCTGAGACTTTTATTGCTATGGAAGTGAGATGATAAATTTTATATTTTATAACAATACAGAGAAATTAAAGTTCTCATCTTTACAGGTACAGTGGCACTTACTTTGATCTTGATGTCATTTCTCGAGTGTCACTTGAATCTATTCGAGTTAAGAACTTTGTTTGTGCAGAAACTAAAAAATCTGATATTCCCAATGTTATAAACAATGCAATATTCCATTTGGAGTCATCAGATGTAGCTCATAAGTTTACCGAGAATCTACTGACGTAAATTTTTATGAATGAACATTTTTGAAATTCAATTAAATATTAATAAGCTAACCTTTTCAGCGAATTTATGAACAATTATAAAGGAAATATCTGGGGAAAGAACGGACCATTTCTTGTTACGAAAGTGGCTAGAAGTATGTGCGAATTTCCAGAAAAAACTATTGAAAAGTCCTTCAACTGTTCAGACATCACAGTTCTTTCACAACCAAATTGTTACG